TCAACTAACCAGTTGTGTAATCTCGAGTCAGTCTTTTGTATAGTTGGGATAATATCACATAGTAGGTGTGAGGATGAAATGTGTATAAAGACAGTGGTAACCTTCCCAGCATGTCACATTGCCTTTAGCAAATGCATATAAAAGCACATAGTTGCAGGCTGCTATTCTAGGTATATACCATGATACATAAGATGCATGAGTACATCCTGGGCAGTTATGGGCTATTTGGACTGTATATGCAGAACATGACCACGTGACATATGCATATATCCATTTTATGACCACGCAGATTGGGCTACATTCATAGCTTTGTTTATGAAAAGGTTTTTTGCACTGTTGACATTTGGTAACTCATTAAGGATGTGTGAGTGTGTGTCCTGTGCATTATGGGGTCTTTAAAAGCGTCTCTGGCCTGACCCATTAGATAGCAATAGCACTCCATTGTGACCATCAGAAATGTGTCCAGGAGGGCCGGGGAGATGGCTCAGTAGAATAAGCGCTTGCCTGGCAAGCTCAAGGGCCTCAGTTCAATCCCTGGTTTCGCCAAAAAAAAAAAAACCAAGTGTGTGCAGATGTTGCCTGGGCCACAGTCACCCCCTGTTGAGAATCTTTGGTTTATGTGAAACTGCATAACCCCTGTACATATAGTATATGCATGTAACCTGAGATTTAATGTGCCCTTTTTAGTTATATTACAGTACTAGACCTTTTTTTTTAGTGATGCTGGATATTAAACCCAGAACCTTGAACATACTTAGCACGTATTCTACCACTGAGGCGTGCCCCCAACTCAAGCAGTAGGTAACATTTAGTGTTGTGCAAAATACTAACTTGAATGCTTTGTGTGTATTTTTCTTGTGTGATGGTAACAACGTCTTTATGAGCTACTGTGATCATACACATGTGTTCTAATTGTGCACATCTAACAGAGGTGGAACCTGAGGATCCTGGTAACGTGCCCAGGGTCTCAAACTTAGTGAAAGGGTGTTTGAATCCAGGCAATCTGACTCCAGAGCCAAAACGTAATCTCCTTACTAAATCATCTCCTTAGTACATAATAAGACACTGTGCATATTTGTAAAAGCAATTTAGGGAGCAAATCTGCATTGTGCTAATTTCATTCTGAGTGCCAAGAAGACATATCTTCTTTGTGGCTTAGAAGATTCCAGTTCCAGAGGGTTGGAATTGTTGGACATGTGACAGTTCTTTGTGGATGTCAACTACTAAGCTTACCCTCAACTTCTTCCTATTTTAAAAAATTCTTAACACTGGGGATGGGACTCAGGGTCTTCATTACTATTTCCAACCCAGCTCCTTTGCATGTTTTATTTTCAAGCAAAGTCTTAACTAAATATCCCAGAATGGGCTTGATTCTGCTATCCTCCTGCATAGCCTCATAGACCGCTGGAATGACATGTCGCCATGCCTGGCTTTTCCTATTTTCTGATATATCCAGTTAATGACTTATAAGTCATATTTATACGGAGCACCTCCTGTGTCTAGACCTGTACCAGGCCCCAGGGGATGGATGTATACAAAGACAAGTTAGCTCTTGCCTTAAGGAAGCTTACAATTCAAAATGCAGTTAGACATGAAAAGCTACAGTATAATTAGATAAGAACTCTGGAAGGTATGGAGAAGGCACAGTAGAAATAAATATCATTTGCTCAGAAAAGGAAGGAAGGAAAGATTGATTCTGTAGAAGAGATTTTTTTAAAAACTTGTGCATTTTTAAGACCCTGAGTCCCATTCCCCAGTATTAAAAATTTTTTATTTTTTATTTTTATTTATTTATTTTTTTTTTTTGTATTTTAAGGGAAGTGTCTACAGGGTATTCAGGGTCTCACTACTAGATGGACTTAGAGATCCACCTGTTTACAGCCTCCCAAGTGCTGGAATTACAGGCATTTGCCACCACACCCAGTCTCAATTGCCATCTCAGTGCACCCTGGGGGTGGGACCAGCACAAAAATTTTTAAAATAGGAAAAAGTTGAGGGTAAGCTTAGTAGTTCTCAGCCACAAAGAACTGTCAGATGTCCATTTTTTGCCACAGCTAGGCAAAAAGGCTGTGATGTAAAAGTAAATGGACAGTGTGGTGTGGTGGTGCCCTCCTCTAGTAGTCCCTGCTTTTGGGAGGCTGAGGCAGGAGGATTGCCTAGTTCAAGGCCAGCCTGAATTACATAGTGAAACCCTGCCTCAAAAAGACAAAGGGAAGGGCAGGGGAGATAGCTCAGTGGCTTAACAGCTTAAGGGCCTGCCCTGTAAGCACAAGGTCCTGAGTTCAATCCCCACTTTAACTAAAAAGCTGGTGATGAAGCTCAGAGGTGCAGTGCCTATCTAGAAAGCCCAATGTCCAGAGTTTGATTCCTGATACCAAAAAAAGAAAATAATAGGGGAAAAAAGAGAGAGAGAGATAAAGAGGGAAAAAAGTGAGTGGAAATTCACCAGGCAGATACAGCACGGCAGAGTGTTCTAGTCTATGAACCTAACAAGCCCCGAGGCCTGAGGGGCGAGAGGCCACATTATTTTCCTGGTCTGAGGAGGGTTTTGGCAAGGGGCTAGAACAGGGCTATCATCTGCAGCTGAAGGTATAAGCACCTGCTAGTGGGAGCATTGCCCGCATAGCCATTAGCTGGAGAGTGTGGAAGGCAGTGACCTCAGTAGGATTAGAGACGGTCCTGCAGGCCCCAAAGACACTTTGATCTCTCCAGAGCCCTCACGCAAGATGTGTTGATGCTTTTACGAGACTATAAATACATTTTATATCAAACTGTGGGCCTTGGCATAGAGACACAAATAGATGCAAAGCAACCTCAAGGTTTTTTATTTCAAAATTTTCTCACAACTACTGCAAATAGCCCATAACTGAGAAGCAGATCGTAAGATTTACTGCTTAAAATTCCTGTTTTCTTTTTTTTAAACTGTCCTGACTTTGTGTGTGCTAGCTAAGCCCTGTACCACTGAGCTATACTCCAGCCCAAGATTCCTTTCTTTAGACACGTAGGCAGTTTTAGAATAAAGTGACAAAATTGTGAATTGTTTTATCAACCTTTTTGCTCTATAACCTGATACTTAGAAAATGTTGGTGTGGTTTGTGTATAGGCGGCTCCCCGTTGCCCCGCGGGTGGCTGGGCTTCTGGAGTTGGTGATTGATTCTTTAGGTTTTTTTTTTTGTTTTTGTGGAACCGGGGATTGAACTCAGTCCCTTGCCCTTGCCAGGGAAGAGCTTATTCTACTGAGCCATCTCCCCGGCCCCTGGGGATTGATTCTTATCCAGTGCTGGAGTTGCAGGTGTGAGTGCCACACCGGGCCTGGGTGTGGGTCATTTGCATTACAATGTAAGGAGGGGAGAAAGGCTACTTAGCTGCGGAGTTGTTGCCACTCCCTGCTCTCTCTGCTCTTTGCTACCACCGTGAAAGGTTGTTCCCTGCCGTTCTCTGCCGTCTGCCACTCTGCCTTGGAGCCAGCTGAGTATGAACTGAAAGCTCCACTAACTGTGAGTTAAATGACGCTTTCCTGCCTTCATTTTGGGTTTCGGGTATCTGTCCCAACAATGAGGAAAGAGGGGGGCCTGCCCCGTAGCTCAGTTCTTTAAGTGGCTGCTTCAACAAAGCAGTCAGGCTC